CAGGTCCTGACATCTTACACCCTTGGCTCCCACGGGCACCTATGCTCAAGTGCACACACCTTCATGGAGATCCAGATAATTAAAAATAACAAAGTAAACCAGGAGGTGGTGGCGCACGCCTTTAATACCAGCACTGGAGAGGCAGAGGCAGGCGGATCTATGTGAGTTCGAGGCCAGCCTGGCTACAAGTGCAAGTTCCAGGACTTGCCACAGAGAAACCCTGTCCCGAAAAACAAACAAACAAACAAAGCCAGACACAAAAGAACATGCTATTCTGCTTATATGAACTCCTTGAGCTTGTCAAAACATGAAGACAAAGTAGAATGATTGCCAGAGATGAGGGGTGGGCCAGGAGCATAGAGATGGCATTTAACAGGAACGGAGCTTGGACTGATGAAAGTGTCCTAATGGAGGGTGATAATGGTTGTTGCAGTGTGGCTGTGTGTCAAGCTTCTGAACTGTTCTCAGAAGTACATTTTACCCAGAGACAGGCCACACACCAAGAGCAGTGAAGCTCAGCGGTGAGGCGCAGTGACGTCACCAGGGTCCCAGGCTCGTCACCCATTCAGTGGACCATGCGCTGCAGATAGCTCTGGTCCTTGTTTGTCGGAGATGACTGCAGCCTCTCTAGACGCTGTGTCCGTGTCCTGGACAGGAAAGGCCAAACATCGTCTGCTCGCCAAGCTGTTTTCATTCACAAAAGGAAACCCATGGGGACTGTCTGCTTACAGCCCTCTCTCCAGAACTTGGTCCGTCACGTCTCAGCCCAGAGCCTGGGAAAACTAGCAGTCTGTGTAAAGTGTTTCAGTGTCTGCCGTAGAAACCCCAAGGTTAGTGTGCATGTTCCCTGAAGAATCTCACACTGAATATTCACTTTTATAACGTGTTGCTTTTTCTCAGCAATGTGAATTAAAGCATCCAGCAGCGGCATCTGTGAATGCCCTTGGCTCCTTTAGCTTCTACATATGATCTTTATTTTATTATTCTAAATAATTCACATTCACATTTTACAGCCTGGAAAATTGGTATGCCTCCTACAGTCGCTGCCAGTGAGGCAGCAGATGAGATGTCATTGTCATTGACTACTGGGTGTGCATCAAAACTCACAGAATGGAGGTTAGCGGCAGTGGTGGTTTTCTGTAATGGTCTTTGTGACAAAAAGATGACTTTTCTTTTAAATGAAGGGTGGGGTCGCACTTATCTGTATTTCTGTGCCACGTGAATCTGTCTCAAGTTTTTTTTTTTCAAAACTACAATCCTATTAATCCACTAATACAAGGACTTCAGCGTATCTCTCTTCCTATGCTAAGTTTTGGTGAATTCTTCCACTTGTAGCCCCTTTATTCCGGGTGCCATATTGCAACTGGTGCCCCTTCCTCCATGCCAGAACAACCTGTTAGATCAGAAGTGGATTTCTTTTTTTTTTTTTTTTTTTTTTTTTTGGTTATTCGAGACAGGGTTTCTCTGTAGCTTTGGAGACTGTCCTGGAACTCACTTTGTAGACCAGGCTGGACTCGAACTCACAGAGATCTGCCTGTCTCTGCCTCTCCAGTGCTGGTATTAAAGGCGTGCGCCACCAACGCCCGGCTCAGAAGTGGATTTCTAACCCAAAAGCAGTCAGCACATATGCTGTAAGCAATGGGCTCAGACTGTTTGTTTGCCTTTTGTCTGGGTAACCATGAACCAAGGAAGAGGACATTTCCACACTTACCATACGCTGTGGTGCTGGTGGTAGTGATGTCTGGTATGGTTAAGTGCGAGGCAGTCAAGCAGAGGAAGCACACACTCAAGAGAAAGAAAGAGAAGGCGCAGAGGACAAACAGAAAGAGAGCAGGGCAGAAAGAGACAGAGAAAGACACACTGAGAAACTGGTTGTGGTGGTGGCCTCCTGTAATCCCAGCATGCAGGGGGCAGAGGCAGGAGGTTGAAGAGTTGGAGGCTAGTCTGAACCACTTAGCAAAACTGTCAAACAAAAAGATGGAGAAGGAAGGGTTAGCAGTCTGAAGCTAAATAGATGCAGTCCCTGCTGACTTTTAGATACTTGCAGGTCGGTAGTTCCAATTGGCCTCAGATTAAATAAGCATCCTCCTTTGGACAGTTTGGATGAGACTCCCTCACTTACTAGAAAAACCAGTTTAAAAATGGTTTCTAATAACCATTCTTACTTAGACTTTACGGACATTGGCCACTCAGAATAGTAACAGGCAGAGAGATAAATGAGACGCCAATTTTCAAAGAACGTCGTGATTTCTCAGAATGCGGCAGCATTCAGGTTAGATGTTCAGTTCATACGCTTTCCCTCAGAGAGCTTTTGTAGAAGCTGTATCAAGATTGCTTGGTAAGCCTGGGCCAGAGCAAAAAGGCCTGTGCTTAAAGCTATTCTCAACAAACTGTCTTTGGAGTACAATGCAGGGCTCATACCCATCGTGGGGATGTACTGAGCTGTCTTCAGGAAGAGACAAGTCATTCCAATGGACTGATTTTCCCCTATAGCCTTATTTACTTGCCTTTCTGTTGATCTTGTTCTTCTGCTATTACTTTCCTTGGAGAATTTGTAACAGCTTTGGTATCCATACACGTAACAGTATTTTCTATTTGCCAGCTCTGGGCTAAGCTCTCCCTATGCACCATCTTATCAAATCCTATTAAGGAGATGCTACTCCATGTTATAGAAAAGATTGAGCCATGTTAAAAAACCAAAAACCTGACCAGGGTAATTTGCCTGCCTAAGTCACTGAAAACAGTGAGACCATTTGCAGAAACTGGGTTAGGAATCTGAGTTGTTGCCCTGGCCTCACTGGTTTTAAAGGTAGCCTACTTTCTTGATTTGAGGAGAAACGAAACGTGTGGTGAAATATGTTCATAGCAGCACATCTTCATGTGGTCACGCCCATCTTCAGCATTTTAAACCAAAAGCACTGAACATTTACTGAGGCTGGAAGTTTTTGTTTTTGTTTGTTTTCGAGACAGGGTTTCCCTGTGTTGCCCTGGCTGTCCTGGAATTTGCTTTGTAGACCAGGTTGGCCTCAAACTTAAAGATCTGACTACCTCTACCTCCAGAGTGCTGGGATTAAAGGTGTGTGCCACCATGCCCAGTGAGTTTGGAAGCTTTTACCTATCCTACCAGGTAGGCAGTGTTAGCTCTCAAAGAATGAGAAAACAGTTTCAGGTAGATAAAATACTTCATGTGGAAATGGGTGGTACAGGATCCCTTGCTACATCTGCTTTCCCTAACTTTACTACCTATCATTCAAATTTCCGATCTGGACTGATCTTCTCATTTCTTTTCTTTCTTTCTTTCTTTTTTCCCCAAGACAGGGTTTCTCTGTATTGTTTTGGAGGCTGTCCTAGAACTCACTCTATAGACCAGGCTGGCCTTGAACTCACAGAGATCTGCCTGCCTCTGCCTCCCGAGTGCTGGTATTAAAGGCGTGCGCCTCCACCGCCCACTGCCGGCGGTTGATTTTCTAATTTCACGGCTCATGGTTTTCCTTTGATTCCATCTCATATAAGAATCCTATCTTTAAGGACTTCTAAATCATTACGAGGAAAGCCTAAGTGCTAATGATGAGCAGCTTTGGCTCCTGCAATGCGTGTCATAAAGTTTGCTTGCCAATAGAATGCAAGACCCCATCTCCATTCTGTTTCCTGACTCTCTGGGTAATTTCAAAGCTCCTGGGATAACAGACAAGTTATTGTTAAAATAGTAATAATAAGGAACAAAATCATCTATAATTCCTAGTTTAGAGTATTCTCTAAGGTACTTCTGTCCCCACGCTAGGGAATGTTTGGATGTCTCTTGTTTTCTTTTTCTTCAGTCAAACACCTGGATGATCACCTGTTTAAGGGTTGTGGGTGACTGAATGTGTGACTCACACCTGTAATCTCATCATTCCAGAGGTAGAGACAGGAGGATCCAAAGTTCAAGGTCATCCAAATCAAGTTTGAGGCCAGCCTGGGCTAACAGGAGACCCTGTCTCAAAAAGCAGGAAAACAAAAAAGTCACGTGTATGATTGTATTACCATATGTGGCCCAGAAATTCTACTCCTAAATATGCATCCCAAGGAATTGGAAACAGGGTATTTAGACAAATGCATAGGTATGTTCAGTGAACATGTTCACATTAGCCGGAAGATGGAAATAACTCATACATCCACCAACAGATGTAAGAACAGAAAGCAAACTGTAGTATATACATACAATGCCATCCTATGTAGCCATGAAAACCAATGTAGTCTGTGATACATGCTACAACTTGGAATAATCTTGTCTGGATTCTTTGACCTAGCCAGACAAGACCAGGCCTGGTGGAGCAGGCCTGTGATCTCAGCTACTAGGGAGGCTTAGACCGGACATTTGTAGGTTCAAAGACTGCTGGGGCTACAGAGTGAGCTTGAGGCCAGCCTGTTACACACCCACCCCACCCCCACCCCCACACAATGCCAAAAAGGCACACAACTCCATTTATATTAAGTGTATAGAAAAGGTAAATTTATAGAGGAAGAAATGGATTAGCTGTTTTCAGAGACTAGGCAATGGAGTAATTACTTAATTTGTGCGGGGGTTTCCTTTTGATGGAATCGGTCAGAATTAGGAGCTGAAGTGGTCATTGCTGACTGTTTTAAGCGCAATAAATGCCACTGAGTTGTCAATTTTTAAGTGGTTATTTTTATGCCATGTTGAGTTTCATCTCGCGTAAAAAGTAAAAGTTTAACCACCCTCCTTTGCCCTTTTCTGGGTTTGGAATCTTCTTTGCCGATGCAGGGGAAAAGAAACAGTCTCCATCCTTGGGCGAGGGGTAAAGGCCTTGTCCGAAGAAGGGCCGCTTGCAGTGGTCTAAGCCGCGTGCGTTGGGTCCCACCGGGTCGGCACACTGGGCGGGTCCTGAGGTCGGTGGGCACAGAAGGGTCCTTGGGGAGGGAGAGCGCACGCCTTCTTAGGAGACACATCCGGCCGGTTTAAAAAAAAAAAAAAAAGCACACAAAAGTTGGCGACGAACTCAAGAGTAGGAGGGGGTGCCATCGCTAGCATCGCGGAGTCTCCGAAGAAAAGGGCCCACGTCAGTCAGGAGGCTCGCGCTAACTCGTGCGGGTGACTGCCACCTCCCCAGTGTAGGAAAATGCATTCTTTTGTTGTTGGCGGAGACCGTCCCCTTCCGCAGCTCCCGGGCCAAGGTGGGCAGCGCAGCGCAGCGCAGCGGGACCGCGGCTCCGGGAGGTGGGGACTGCGCTCCCGCCCGCCCGCCCGCCCTCCGCGGCGCCCACCGAGCGGTAGGAGGCGGCGGCGGCGGCGGCCCGCGAGGGGGCGGCGGCAAAGCGGGGCTTTGTGGCCGCGGCGCGCGCGGCGGGGCCTGGCCGGCCGGGGGCGCGCGGCCGCCCGGCGCCTGGAGCCCGCGGCCCTGCCGGCCGCCCAGCCCCGCCAGAGCCACCCAGGCCGCCGCGCTCGCGCCTCCGCGCCCCTCCCCGGGACCCCGCGGCCGCCGCGCCGCCGCTGCAGGTAGGAGGCTGAGGCCGGGAGGGCCGCGGCCGGCCGGGGGGAGCGGGCGGAGCGGGAGCGCGGGGGTGGTGGGGGGTCTGGCGGGCTCTCGGGCCGAGCCGCCGCGCCCTCCTCCCCGCAGGCCGGCGGCCGCCCGCCCGCCCGCTCGCCCGCGCGCGCCGCGGTGCCCCGGGAGCCCGGCCGGCCTGCCGCTCACAAAGCGCCGGCGCGCGGGCCTCGCAGACGGCGCTGGAGCTTCCGGGAGGGGGACTCCGAGCCCGGGGCCCGGGAGGCGCTGGGGGCGAGAATTCGGCGGCGGCGGCGGAGGAGCCCGGGGCGCCGCGGTCCTCACGTCCCCACTGTGTGCGGGCGACTGCGCTCGCCGCTTTCCCGTACTTGTCTGCATCGAGCCCCCCTTCCCCCCGCCTCCGGTTCGGTCCCCAGGTCTAAGGGGCTGGGTCGCTCTCGGGAGGAAACAGTGCATCACATCCCTGCCCGGCTGACCTTGGGGACGCTCCCTGGCTGGGTTGGTGTTTCTGTAACGGGGGTGTAGGGTGTGATGTAATAGCCTCCCCCCCCCCCGTATTATGGTGGGAGATAATGTGTCTGGTAGCTAAACGTAAGTACTTCGTGTCTCAGGCCCCAGGTCCCGAACAGTTGCCGCGAATTATTAAATAATCGCACGGGCACACAGGTTGCTCTGTAGATTGCTGGGAGAGTTCATGTTGGAGCTAGGAACAGGAATTTAGTTTCCCTGTTCTGATGACAGGGAATGGATGTTTTATCGCTGCGATAACATTTAACGGCGCGAACGTTTCGCGGTACTTAGGAGCATGGCTCCAGGGTGAAGACACATCTTCTCACACATTTAAAACCCGAGCTGGGACACAGGGCCTGAGGTGTGTGTGTGTGTGTGTGTGTGTGTGTGTGTGTGTGTGTGTGTGTGTGTGTGTGTGTGTGTGTTTAGCGTGTCAGTGCTCAGTGGAGACCACGGTGTACGGTGATTTCAGGAAAATTGTTGAGCGTTAGTAAGATAGTTCCTGAGTTAGGATTGAGGACAGCCATGAGAGTTTGAGGCCAGAAAGAGACGCAAGGACTGGAGAAAAAGAGTTCTAAAACCCGGAGGAAGATGGGGTCGTGCAGTCTCCTCTCCCCACAGCTGCATCTTGAGACAGGGCTGTCTGCCGTGAGGGGGTGGGAGGAGTCCCGTGGGAAGGTCTGAAGTTGTCTGTCCTTACTCCTGCAGCTGGGCGGAAGTGTTCAGATGAAATGCAGGCGCTGCCATGAGACCTGGCAGACCATTGAGCCGCTTAGGATGCAGTGGTCCCCGGTAGCATGTTTTGAGAGATGAAGATACCGGACAGCCCTCAAGGTTAATGAGATGCTTAAAATACCAGTAAAATACCAAGCCTGACTGATGTGAAGAAGGGGGGCTGGGACTTCTCTTCACTTGCTTAAGGGACACAGTGGGGTTGAAGAAAGTTTGGAGTTTCAGTTTGGAATGGGAAGACTGGGCAGGTGTCGGGGTCTGCAGGAGGAGGAGGAGGAGGAGCACGGCCCGCTTAAGTATCCTGCTGGAAGCGGGGACAGGCCGGCTCGCTGCCACCAGGGAGGCCCACTGCACGCTCCTGATTTCTTACCCCGTGGCACCTTTCCCATGAGTGAGCAAGACAGACTTCTTGAGTAAAGGGGTTTTGCTTAAAACTAGGGCTCAGAAGAGGATTTGGGGTACACATTGATGGTAAGGGCAACACGTATTACACGTAGGGGAACGAGCAAGCGCTTTGGGGGAGGCGGTCGCCTTGGGGGGCTTAGCCATCTCCCTGCTGTCTCTCAGCTTTGTGATTGTGGGGTATGTGTGTGTGTGTGTGTGAGAGAGAGAGAGAGACAGAGACAGAGACAGAGACAGAGACAGAGACAGAGACAGAGAGATTATTCCCTTTTTCAAGTAGAACTCAATAGCATGTCACTCTATTTCCCGGCCACTAGGAAATTCATTCAAAATTTTTTTCTGTGTGCCAGTCCTTTCCTGAGTCATATGTTACATGTTAAGATGCAGAGATGAGTCAGAAATTATTTATTTCCTTAGGAGTTCCCCATTCCAGAGAGAGAGATGGGCACAAAGGGCAAAAATTACAAAAACTGTGAGATGTGCCCCTGGCTGTCATTAATGATTGACAGTGGGCTTGTAGAAGAGTGGACCGCCCCATTTGCTGGAGACTCTGGGCCAGTGTGCTTCAATGCGATGAGCTTGAGCCCTGTGGCGGGGGGCTCTGAATGTTCCGTGACCGCTTGCTTTTTATCTCATTTATGCTAAAGTCTCAGCTGTGACATTCTCTTTCTTAAACATGCAGCTGCGTTGTACATACAGCGTGTAAGCTGTTTGTTCGGTAGAGTCTAGAGAATGTTCTACAGTAGTCATGCTTCCAGTGTTGAAAGAGTGAATTATTTAATAGATCGCTAACGAAAGTAAAAAAATAAGTCGTGAGTAGCAGAAAAACCATAGCTGGATGGAAAGCATCAAACCAGGTGATCACAACATCCAGCAGGAATGACAGTCACAAGACTGGATCAAATCTGGGGCTCACAGATATGCAGCAGAGATCTACTGGAGAAGCTCCACTGAGGTAGCCAGCTGAGTTCCAATCAAGAGTCCCAGGCAGAGTGGGATGGTCTTCTCAGGTAAAAGAACAAACAGCAGCAAGTCAAGAACATAATCAGATTGGGAGTTTACGACTCTCCAGCAGAAACTGAGTTAGCTGAGACAGTCTGCTGGAATTCCCAACTGAGAGAATCCTAGGCAAGAGGGTCCTCTCCATCCTCTCCATGGATGAATGCTCATGTTCAGTTAAGTTGGTTACAAATAGTTTACTTCCTAATCTGTTCTCAAGGGCAAAATGTTCTTAATATCCACGGTTTCTTGCTGTTTTCCTCCTTACAGAGGTAAGGAGCCTGCCCTCCCCAGGAGAGGGAGCCTTGGAGGAGACCGCGGAGGGCCTCCCCACGACCAGAGACAGCTTTCACCAAGCTTAAAGAGCAGAGAACAGTTAACCAATATAATGTATCTTACACTGGTTTAAACTCATTTTGGAAGGAAAGCTGTTAGACATAAGTAGGTGTTTGGGCATCAGTTTAGGCTTTAGAACAATTACATGGGATCTGGGTCTGTTAGGATAGAAATGAGTACTGAGTAGACCTTGGAACAAAACTCATAGGCAGAGGAAGTCTGACATACACTGAGCCATGAGAAGATAGTGAATCCATGAAGGTGAAGTTTGCTCTGATGAGTTGAGAGAGACATGGAGTGGGGCAGATGGGGCAGGTGGAGGAGGTGCTGAGACCAGGATCTAGAAAGGCCCCTAGTGCCTCGTGAGGAGCTCGGCTTGCTCTGTCACTTAGGGAGTGGAAAGGAATGTCACGGGGTACAAGCAGGGCTGTGTGTTAGGGCAACCTCTCCTGTGGTTGTGTGGAGGATGCATTGGGCACTTGGGAGACCGGTTGCAGACTAAGGTCTGACAGAAGAGACGAGTAGTGAGAATAGGGGAGACAGAAGGAGATAGTGAAATAAATCATAGAATGAGTTTTGTTCACTGGTTGTTCATGTTGGAGAATACGCTGAGGATTTTGACTTGGGAAGCCCCATGGGAATGGCTGAAATCGCCAGACATCATGAGACTTGTAGATGGTAGGGGAATAATTAGTGTGGCTCCAGCTCTCTGGAGAATTGGTAATTTCTGAGGTACCCATATGGGACGGTGATAGAGGAGGTTGGTACAGGGACGGCAGTATGTCTGAACAAGCACTGAGCAGATACTGCGAAAGATGCACACGCAGTTTGGTTCCCCCTTGACAGAGCAGATGGGTAGATAGCAGTGTGGAGAACTTGCTGGAAGAGCTCTGGGCTAGAGCATATCTGAGACCCAGCCTTCGGAAGTGATGGGAGTGGAGGAGAGTGTCCCGGCTACCACAAGCCGCAGGATGGCGTGGAACACCCCCAGAAGGGCACCTTCTGCATGTCAGAAACGCTTCCTGCAGGGGAGGCTTTAATAATGAACCTAAAGGCATTTCAGGGGCGCCTGGGCGGGGGCTGATTTAGTATGGAGCCGTGGAGGAGATGAAGGGAGGGGTCAGGACTTTGAAGAACACTCGTGTAGTTAAAAGAGGGGTTTGTGTTTGTGGGAGTAAGAGAAGAGGAGGGTGAGGAGTGGAGGCTTGCCTTAAACACAGCCTGGTTCCAGCCTCAGTCACACTCAGATACAGAAGGCAAAAATAAACACTCCCAAGTTACATGGCTACTTGGAGAGAGTGGGGAAGGGGCTAACACTTAGGAGAAGGTTGGTGCTGATGCAAAGCCCCCTAAAGAGAGAGGAGATGGAGGGGAGTAAAGGGTCGGCCAGTGGCCGTCCTGGTCTGAGCTCTGAGCATGTGACCATAAAATGACAGCCACAGTTATCGCAAGGCTCTGAAAAACTGCCATTTCCACTTCCTTTAGGATCTTCACGGTATTTTCAAGACACCAGGAAACTGTAATTTCCCTGTTAGTCCCTGTTCAGTTGGCCCTGTGGGTTGGGGCCTGTGGCAGGGCACTGTGGCATCAAAAGAGGTCTTTTGGATAGTAGAACATGCAGCTGTAATTAGTACAGACACACAAATGGCCGGCAGGTGTGTGTTAGCCTGCATTCAGCAAATATTTACCAAGTGCCGGCTGCATGGTGGACAGCCTTCAAGACCCTGGAGACCTGACCACTGGCCTTAGCTGCTTTACCTGGAATTGCTTCGCTTATAAAGTGAGATCTGTATATGGCCATAAGGCAGAACGAATTTGAAGTGCCAGGATCATTTCATCGTTTTGTGTAGTGTTTTATTTCACTGGTCCCAAACCCCCACCAGCTTCTTGAGTCATCAGAAAATGCTATCCGTGGTTGGTGGCGGCTGTGGACATTAGGCCACAGGAGAAACGACCGCTAATATGGACTGCCAGCCCTGGAAGGGACGTAGCGAGCGAGCGCCTGCTGTAGTTGTAATGTAGAGATGAAGGCCCGACAGGGAGGAAGAGGGCGTGTGGCATGGCATGGTTTTCAGGCGACACATCAGTCAGCTCTCTGTCACTGTGCCGAAACTCTGAGCTAATCAGTTTATAAAAAGAAAAGGCCTGGGCTGGGGGTGTAGCTGAGCAGTGGACACTTTCCCAGGATGCTTGAAGCTGGGTTTACTCCCTAGCAGCGCAAGTTTGGCAATTGGGTGGTGAAAGTTATTTGGGCTTGTACTTCCTGTTTGCTTGAGACAGGGTCTATGTAGCCTTGGCTGGCCTGGGACTCACTATTTAGATGAGGTTAGCTTTTTGAACTCATAAAAGACCCGTCTGCCTCTGCCTCACGTGCTGGGATTAAAGGTGTGTGCGAGTCA